AAATGGCTGCTGTGAAAAAGCTCAGTCACTTTTCAAATTAGTTGACAGTTAATTTCCTGTCAGTGAATTAATCTGTGTATTTCTCCAACATGAAAGCACTGCAGATGTACTTTCATGAAATGCTATGTTATTCTAATAGTTTCTTGTGTTTATTTGCTGTCAAGTGAGAAGTGACAGCAGGGATTTGGGTAACTTAATGTCTAAGGCCCTCAGGAATTTAAGCTATAATTGTCCCATTGTTACCATTATTCCCACCCTATAATAATAAGGAGTGGCTCAAGTTTTAAAGTTGCACTCCACCTTTACATATTGTGTGGAGGCAATTATAAATGCAAGTCTTTTATAGTCTTTGATTGCAGTGTATTATTATGCAGCTTCACTGATTGCTCAAGTTGCATGTTGGACAGGTGTTATAAATATCTCATTGAATTGTCTGAGAAAATATTCCATCAGACTATTGTATCATATCCACTGTGGTATTAAAGTACATGAAGCAAATGTCCATTAAAATGCTGGAGTAAATTGCCATGAATTACAAGTCCAAACAATTTTCCTATTATTATTTGATCTTTTACTGACTAATGCTAAAAGTAATCGGCTTTTTACAAGCTTCTGTTGTCTGTTAGATTGCTGTATTTTCTTTATCTACCTGATATTTAACATCTGTAGTTGTGCTTGTTCCAGGACAGCATGGCTGAGCCCAGTGCAGACGCTCAGGCCAGACCCCAGGACATCCAAGCTCTGATCAGAGAAGCCACTCACATTCTCAAAGAGCCTCTGGAGACCATGGCAGGTCCCTTACGCACTTACAGAAAAAGAATGCAGGTAGGACTCATCGATGGATAAATGACACCTTGACAGTAGTAGAGAGTAGAATCATAGCTGTTCTCAACTATTAACGGTCTCAAGACTGTAACTCAGCTCTAAGATGACCTAAGATCCAAGTTATTTTTTTTATAAATCAACAAACTCAATAAGACTTTTTGATAACAAAGTTGAATTAGCAGTCTGTTCAGAATTAGAAATAACAGAGAATAACAGTTTTAATTTGATACACTAATGATTTTAGTTTAAATGATTTAAATTTTTAGATTTAACTGCTGCATTTGACACAGTGGATCATGAAATATTGATCTCACGTTTGAAGCAGTGGGTGGGCATCAGGGGCATAGCACTGGAGAGGCTCGTACTTGGCTGCATCAAAACTTTCTGTGTCAGCCTAACGGTGCACTACTCGTACTCCTCCTCTGCTTTCTCTCGTGTGGGGTCCCAAGGCTCCAGTTCTGGCCCTCTCCCTGTTTCTGCTCTCTATTTCTCCACTTGGTCTCCATAACTTTTACGGAACGCACCGGCTTTTCACTTCCGACTGTTATGCAGACGATGCCAGCTCAGATTATACTCGTGCCTTCTCTAAAAAGAAAAACTGGATACGCGTCAGAGCTGCTACGTTACTATGTTGGATCCCTGTCAGGAGCGACCTTAGTAAGGCCTGATGGGCCTGATGGATAACTTTGTTTGAAAGTTGGTCCAATGGAGAAACAATGACGGAAGTGACCACACTGCGAGTGGCACACACCTGGGACCCCCCCTGTAGATCTGGGTTCTTGCCCAGCTATAGTTAAACCTAGATCACAAACTAGGGGGCGTTAAAGTGGAACCCTGAGCTTTAAGTTTGACAGTCAGATCAAGGCTGTATGTCAAAATCAAGCCTTTTTCCATTTGAGGCAGCTGGCCAACAATCAAAGCCAATTCCTATCCAAGGCAGCACTTTGAGATGGCTAATGCCACGCCTTTACGTTACGCACTCGCTGATCTACTGTTAATGCACTGTGAGGTGTGGGGGTTAGTGGGCTCCTCCATCGCCCGTCCTCCAGATGGTACAAGGAATGCCTGTCTGCACGTCTTTTCAACTGGCACACCCTGGTAAAGACAGCTTGCACGTGTTCCCAATCTTTCCAGCCCTCACTCCACTGGCCTGCCTATTCAATTTAGGGATCCATTTTACCAACCTCTTTTACC